TGTTCCCAGGGCAAATTCCAGCCCAGTGGTACGAGCTCTCCTCTCTGCCTCTCACTTTATCCCTATAGAGAAACTCAAGGAATTTGTCTCTCAGAGTGCAAGGAATTGGTCTCCTCTATAAACATGAGCAAGAGCTAAGGGTTTGTAAAAGAACCAGAAGTTGGTTATCTGTAATAATCTACTTTGGACCCACTCCCTGCCCTGTGTCTGGAGATTCAGAGGAGGGAGGAGTTTAATAAAGTTTTCCCTCCTTTTCAAAAACCTTATCATGAAGTCTGGGGACGAAGTATTAAGCAAGGAGTACTTGCCCTCCATTTCCCCCAATGCCCAGGCTGCTGTTTCTATTTAATATCTGCTTAACTGGTGATGGCTTGGTTCCTGCACATGGTGGTGTGTGGGAGGGTGGGGGAGAAGCAGAAGTTTGTGGCCCAACGGCTCTATCATGGGACTTGGGACTTGTGAGGGACTTGGAGATGGAGCGTGGCTGCCGGTGCTCAGGGTCACAGCAATTAGGCTGTCCAGGAGACTCGGCCCGGAGCGGCTCTCCGGCTGCCTTCTTGCAGAGAGGGAGGATTGGGCCAGGTGAGGATGTTCTCCTGGCTAACCAGACGGTTTTGATGAAGACCGTGTGGGATCTGGGAATTGGTAAATAGCGGTGGGGTTCTGCATTGTGAGATGTCAGCTTCGCATGTCTTCTCAAACCCTCTTTGAGGAGTGAGGAAGAAGTGGAGAGGAGTTCAGTGCTGTGCTTCTCTTTATTGTTAGAGGCCCTGAGAACCTAAAAAGAAGTTTGATTTAGTCTAGTATCAGAGGCTTAAAAACACGCTGTTTTTTTTTTTTTTTTTTTAATTACATTCTCTTTGTAAACAGTTCAAGCATTACAAAATGCTAAAGTCCATCTTAGGCCTTCCCCTACTCTGGCTTCTGAAGCTGAGTCTCAGTTCCTCTACAACTTGGCTTAATTAGCCCCTGTGTTGCTGCCCAGGAGGATGCCAGTGGAGGTGGAGAAAATGATCGAGTGCGGAACTTGCAGAGTGAGGTGGAGGGAGTCAAGAATATTATGACCCAGAATGTGGAGCGGATCCTGGCCCGAGGAGAAAACTTAGACCATCTTCGCAACAAGACAGAGGATCTGGAAGCCACAGTGAGATGGGGAGCCCACTGGGGACAAGGAGAAAGAGAGGAAGGGAGGGTCTTAGAGAATCTGGGGGTAGACGGTGTTGGGAGCAAAAGGGACGGGAGGGAAGTCTGCTTCTTCCCGTTGTGGGAATTGATGTAAGGTGAGTCCCCACTTCTGATGCTGTTCTACTCCACCGATTGGTACTCATCCAGGGAATGGGTCCAGCGACTGGGGTTGGTGGGTAGGGGCTGATACGTGGAGGCATTTTCTAGTCAGAGTAGTGAATCCAGGTCTTCTTAGTCTTTTCTCCTATGAAATTGATTTTCCCTTTGAAGGCTACCTCTGACAATCATTTGAACCTGGCCTCCCCAGAGCAAAATACTGGCTTTGGGAACTCTGCCTAGGGCCTTTGACCTTCTCCAGGAGTTAGAAGGCAGGGGATGACAAACTGGTAAAGTCTCTCTGAGTCATCTTTAAATAGAAGCTGGAAAGAGCAGTGTAATTCTTTGATGGAGTCCTCTGCTGGCTGAGGGCTAGGATAGCATCTCCCAAACATCTTGCTAGACCTCGTTCTTCTCTCTGTCTCCAGCCAGGTGCCAACGCCAGGTGCTCAGGAAGGGAGTAACTCTAACGTTCAGCAAAGGCTGGAGCCTAAAATTCCTTGTCCATGGGGAGACATTGGCTACAGCTTTTTGAGTCCTTTGTGTAATCTTGGGCATAGCTCCTTTGTCTCCCTGGGACTTAGTGCTTCTTTCCACAGCCTAACCTGGGGAGCGTGACCCAGTGAAACTTAGCTTCTGCAACTCCGGTTTGGAGAGAAAGCACTTTCCCTCACTTCCAACCACCATATTCCCCTGGCCCCTTCTCCAACTTCAGCAGGCCCCATGGGGCAAGGAATCACAGAAGCTGGGGATGTAGTATCCTGGACCCTGTCTCTCCAAAGGGTGGATTGTGCTGCCAGTGTCACACCCCTGGGTGTGAGCATGTGTAAAGATTCCTACAATGTGCATGACAGTACAGGGGTAAGAAGAGACGGGAGTGGGGAGGGGGGCCGGCAGGGGGCCAGGAGGAGCCCAGGATTTCTAAATTTGGCCCACCAGCTGGTTATGAAAGTATTATATTTGTCAAGGTAGGAGGATAGGACATTTTCTATTTAACAGTCTGTTACCTCAACTTATCACTTAAATATTTAGATGTATGGCACGTGGGTCAGTGTTTGTATTCTTGTTCCAGTGGGCGGAGGCACTGAGTCACTCTACCTTATTCCCTACAGTCTGAGCACTTCAAGACAACATCGCAGAAGGTGGCTCGGAAGTTCTGGTGGAAGAATGTGAAGATGATTGTCCTCATCTGTGTGGTTGTTATTATCATCATCCTCTTAATTGTGCTCTTTTCCTCTGGTGTCATCCCTAAGTAACTTAGGGAGCCCCTCCTACCCTGCCCTCCTCTTCTCGGCAACACTCCGTGGTAGGCATCACGAGGAGCCCTCTTTCCCATCAAACTCCACAGGGAATGCTCTCAGCCCACTGGCCCCTCATTCTGAGGCCCCTCTGCCACACTGTCTACCCCGGGAAGGACCTTGGTCCCCTACAAGGAGAGAGATAAGTGTGGCTGCATTTCATATGTCCTCAGAGTTGGTTGGAGAGACCCGGAGAGCCCAGCATATGGCTGGGACACTGATGGTGGCTGGTAGGCAATAAAGACCCTTCAGTATCCCTACATTTGCGAATATTTGTGAACATTTGTGAGGTGCTTTCTCCCTTTGCGTTTAGTCTTTGGCCCTTTTCTCCCTGAGGTCACCCTCTGGCTGAGGTTCTCCCATTTGTGTCTACCCCAAGTTGTTGGGGTAGAGAATGTATGTTTGAAAAAGAAAGATGGAACCTCCCTTTTTTTTCTCTATTCCTCCTTGTTCCACTCATTATCACAGGTCTCAAGAACAAAAATGTTCTGGGAGCCTTGGCACATGGAAAATTCAAAACCTTCACAGCATTTTAGGATGGTGTGCAAGACTCCTGAGTGTCGCCCTCGGGTCTTGCCATTTCACTGCACCACTTTTCTGCTGGAGGGCTAGCCGAGACGTGAGGCCTACCTGGGCTGAACATTCCGGAGTTTGGTTAAGGGCCTCCTGCCCCTTCCGTCGTTGCCATCTCTCTTCTGTGGCCCTGTTGTAGTCTAGGGTCGGGGTTAGAGGAAACTGAACTGCTTTTCCTTCCCTTGTGCTTCTACAAATTCTACTTGTCTTTTGTCTGCTCCTGCCCTTCTGGGACTTAGGTCTCAGTTGTTCTAAAGGGGTGAGCATCTCTCCCCTATGTCCTGTGGCTGAGCACAGTCAGTATCACAGGACAGGGCCTATGGCTTTCCTTCCCCTCCCTGGACAAAGGGACTCTGTCTTTGTGCCTTCTTCCTCCCTACCAGATTCCACCGTCATTGTCATTCTTTCCAGTGCCCAATCTGCCTTTGTTTGGGGAAAGGGTTCTTGCTATCTGTCCCTATTTCTCCCATTGTTTTCCAAAATCGAAAGAAAACTATTTTGGGGTGGGTGACATGGGCAGGGTTGAGAGAGAGGATTTGGGACTAGTACTGGCAATCAGGTTCTGGAATCCTGCACCAAAAACTGGGGAGCGGGGAGGAAAGCACAGAACAGACTCTCAGGTAGTCTTTGCCACAATGATGTCCACCCTCTGTCTCCTTGGTCCATACTGCTGGACTCCAGGGCGAAGGAACTGGGGCTAAACCTCTTCCTAGGAGCCCAGACTGTCCAGGATGGGGGTTGGGTTTGTGCTCATAGGGGATCAACCCCAGAGAGGGAAAACGTCAGCTCCCTCAAGAGGGGCCACATATTTTTCTCAAATTATAAGGGAAAGTTTATTTTAAAAGTTACACAGGTAGTAGAAGTGAGCCAGCTGGGCTGTAGGCTTAGGAAACAAGTTACAGAGGGGGAGAAAAAAAAGGGGGGCCCTTGGGAAAGTCAAAGGTAATGCGCCTGAGGGGAAGAAGAGCTGGAAGGGAAAGCCAAGAGGGGCCACATTTGAGATGTTGGGAATGGCACAGGGTGGGGGTGAACAGGTAGATAGGTGACTGTTGACTTCCCTGCAGCAATGAGGAGAGGATGAGGATGGGAAGATTCACTCAGGAGGGATGGAGGGGCAGTAAGCACAACAGCCTCACACATCCTCTGACTGAGGAGCAGGATCAGATAAGGGCAGGGCTGCACTTGCCCTCCTGGGAAATTCAGGAAAGCTAGAGCTGGCACCTTCTCCATGATTGGTCTGTTTTCTGTTTTAATTGAGGTGAAATTCACATAACATACCATTGACCATTTTAAAATGTACAATTCAGTGGCAGGTAGTGCATTCATAATGTTTATTGTGAATAAACTTTTATTAGTTTCAAAACTCTTGGGAGGTCTGTTTTTGGTTAAGGGTGAGATGCACTCACCAGGGTGGTGAAGACCCCGCCCCCCCCGCCCCCGCAATGTTTAAGGTGTCCCCAGGGCATAGCAGTGCCTGACAATGGTGCTCATACAGTTGCTTGATGAGTGAATGAATCATGCCTCCCCAAGTAAGCCCAATCTACTTGATTTTGGCTGTAGCCCCAGACCCCCCTGAGCCCTGCTCCCCCCCCCCCCCCCCCCCCGTGCCCATTTCATAGATTGGGCGCCCAAGGTGCAGCCAGCGTGTAGACCTGGTGCCAGGCTGCTCAGGCTTAGCCCGAGTGCAAGACGTTGGGGAGTCGTCGGAAACTGGGTGACAGCGCCTGGGAGGAGGCACCCTAGGGACCCTGGTCGTCTTAGCAGACTGCTTTCGATTTTGGACTTAGTATGGGCTGCTGGCGAAGGCGGGGCGCCCCCCTGTTCCCCCGCCCTTCCCCGCCCCTCTGCTTCCTCTCCAGCCCGGGTGTGGAGACCTCTCTGCCGGCCGGGCCGAGGTGCTGGAGCGGCCCGGCAGCAACTGCGGCGATGGTGAGGGCCCGGCGGGGTGAGGCGGCCTGAGGCGGCTGGGAGAGGGGCAGAGGGTGAGCAAAGTGGGTGCGAGACAGGATTCCGAGGGCAGGGGCTCTCCCCGAGACCGCAGGTCCACAGGCGAGGCACTGCTGCAAGAGCAGGGCTGGGACCAGAGCTTCCACTGCCCTCCAAGCTGGGGAAGGAAAGTGGTGTGAGCCCCATAGGCTGCCCCTGTCCCTTGCTGAGTGATCGGTACTTGGCTTGCACTTCCTTGAGCCTGGTGGTTTCACCATCGACCTCAGAGTCAGACTGATGGCCGCTTACCTGCTCTGTGATCCTGGGCAAGTCATGTAACCTCCCTGAGCCTCTTCCTCATCCGTGAAGTGGGGTCAGTAACACCTGCCTTGGCTGGGTGCATGCAAGGTTAAAGGAAATAGAACGGCAGAGACCTACCTGCCTGGCACACAGAACCTGCTCCGGAGAAGTGGTAGGTAACTTGATGACCTCCAGCCTTTCCTGGGGCTGTGAGGAGTCAGGCCTGGCCCCGCGGGTTGGAAACCTGAGCAGAGGAGGTGGCTGAAGATTGAGCCAGCCCACAGCAGGCGATTGGAAGGGAAAGGGAAAGACGTTTACTATCAAAGTTCCACTTAAGTTATTAAAGTGTGACACAGGCCTGACTCCCTCCTCACCCTTGTTTAGGGACACATTCCAGATGAGTCATCAGCCAGTCTGGCTGCAGATTGTGGCCTCTGCCCTCTTTTGCCCTCTCCAAGGCAAAGGTATCAGGAACAGGTGGTGCCAGTTGCTGTCCTCCCTCCCGTTGGGAAGATGGGCTGAGCAGGGAGCAGGCTTGGTGCTTTGAGATTCCACTGTGGAGAAGCTGGCAGAGGTGTGATGGAAGGGCCTGGCTATGGGTCACCATGCCCGGATGGCCTCATCTCCAGGGAACTGGAGGCAGGAAGAGGAAGCTGGACAGGAAGGTAGTGCTGAGCTCTAAGGTCATGCTAGGAAACAGCGTTGCTCTGAGAATGGGACAGAGTCCAGAACCCACTTCCCATTATGCAGGCCAAGGGATCAGGCAGGGGTAGGGGTGGACTTCCAGCTGGCACTTAGCATTTGGGGAGAAGAAACTCCTGAAATGAGGGCTGAGAGTAGGATAATTTATTGGGGGGAACTGGGAAACTCTGGGACTCTTACAGGTTGAGGCAAGTAGTAGGTCAGATCTTGGGAAGGGTACCTTGATCTCTCTCCCTGTCCCATCTCCTGTCTCCATTCCTCTGTTCTTTTACTCCGGCCCCTTTCTTTGCCCCCAGCTCTTTCCCTACCTTCTTCCCATCCCCCTTCCCTACTTGGTCCTTCTTCCTTTCCCTTCTCTTTTCCTCTTCTCTGATTTACTCAATCAAATATTTCTTGTGTTTCCTTTGTGCCAGACATGGTGATGGATATCAGCGATAGAGTAGGAACAGTGATGGGTAAGATGGAAATTGAATGGGTAATGACTTGAATGGGTAATGACTTGAATTCATTCATCCTGGTCCTCTCATGTACAGTCCAAAGAATTTGGGTTTTGGCCTCCTTCATATGCACACAAGTTGGGTTGGCAGCATCAAAAGGCCTGGTGACTTCAGCCAGCCAGCTAAAAGCATTTGGCCTCTCTTTGCCTGCATTCAGTTTAGCACAGGTATTAAGAATGTGATCCTTGCCATGGCCAGGTGGCCCAGTTGGTTGGAGTGTCATCCAATACACCAAAAGTTTGCAGGTTTGATCCCTGGTCAGGGTATGTGCCTAGGTTGTGAGTTTGATCCCTAGTAGGGGCTCATGCTGGGGGCAGCCAATCCATGTTTCTCTCTCACATCAATGTTTCTCTGTCTCTTGCCCTTCCTCTCTCTCTAAAATCAATAAACATATCCTTGGGTAGGGATTAAAAGAAAAAAAGAATATGCTTCTTAAAAAAGAAAAAAGAATGTGATCCTTGGAGTCTATGTTGGCTCAACTCCCAGGTCTTCTACTCTCTCGCTTTGTGAATTTGAGAGGGGTCTGAGCCTCAGTTTCTTATAAAACTGGGATAATAGTGATGTCCTCAATGGATTGTTATGAGGATTAAGTGAGATAAAGCTAACAGAAAGCTAGCAACGCTACTTACCTCAGAGTAGTGTCCACTGAGTGGTGACTGTTATTACCATCAAGATGTAAAGCCTTCTCAACAGCCTGTAGTGCCTGAGGGAAATAAACTAGATGCAGGTTCTCAAGGCCCATGTCAAGTTCTGTATTTAGATTAGAAACAATTAAGGGCACAAGTTTACCATAAGGAGGAGCTTGCTTGGCTATGTATTTTGTAAAAATATCTAAAAGGTTTTTCTGAGCACAAGTATTGTGCAGTTCTTGGGATCTGACTGTTAAAAAAAAAAAAGGCTGGCCCTGGCATGGCTCAGTGGAATGAGCGCAGGCCCACAAACTAAAAGGTCACCTGTTTGATTCCCATTCAGGGCACATGCCTGGGTTATAGGCCAGGTCCCCAGCTGGGGTTGTGTGAGAGGCAACTGATCAGTGTTTCTCTCCCTCTCTTTCTCCCTCCCATCCTTTCTCTCTAAAAGTAACTAAATAAAATTGTTTTTTAAAAAGCTAGGGAAAATTGGACTATTATTTATTGAGCATCTAGTATGTGTCAGGTATTGTGCTAAGCATTTTATTTATAATATGTTGCACGTCTTAGTTAACATGGTAGACATTATTGTCACCACTTTATAGATAAGGAAGTGGCAGGTCAGAAAGGTCATTCTCTCAGTCTTCAGTCACTCTGCTGGTGAGTGGCAGAGGCAGGATTTGAAGGAACTGAGGGCTGCAATGCAGAGAGCCCTGATCCTAGTCTCTGAGCTCAGCTAAGCACTGCCCTAGGAAGGAGCTGATATACCTGGTCGCTGTCCAGGTCTCTCTGACCACTATGACAGTTAGAATAAGGTTTCTTAGGCACTAACTTAGAGAGAGGGGAGACAGGAGAGATAGGACGGAGATTTTGAAAGCTTTTTTTTAGAGGAACCAAGGGCATTTGGCCTGGAAAAACCCGAGTGGACATTTGAGCATCGAAGGAGGGAAATTCTGTATAGAGGGTAACGTTCATTGTTTGTTTGTTTTTTTCCCCAGGGAAGTTATTGTATATTTAATATTTGTATATTTCATTGAAAAATATGCATATACAGAAAGGTATACAAAGCATTGATACAGAGGTTAATTATTTAAGATGCGCAGCTGTTAAAACAAATGCAAGGCGAGAACAGAACCTTGCCAGACACCCCCTGCCTGCCCCTTGCGATTCCAAACTACCTGCCCTCCCTCTGGGGGGAACTGCTATATTGATTTTTATGGTAATAATTTTTTTGCCTTTATTATTTCCCCACCTAAGTATAAATTGCTAAGCACTACAGCTCAGCTTTCTAGGTTTTTAAACTTTACATAAAGGGAGTTGTTCTTTGTATCAGTTTGTGCCTGGCCTCTTTTTGCCAAGTATTATTGATGCAATTTCAATATAGCTTTGGAAGTATATTTCTTTTTTTTTTCCACGTTGTCACATGTAGGTGCAGTTTGTTCATTTTTATCGTCCTATGGTGTCCATTGCATGTCTATCCCTACATTTCATGTAAATCTACCACCGTCTGCCTGCCAACTATACTGGTGCCCTCTCCCCCTGGCTCACAACCTCAAGCCCTTCAGGCCCCTGGCAGGGCTTGGAAGCGCCCCCTCCCCCACCCATCCTGTCTATATACTCTATGCTCCCCCCAGCCTGGTGGACATTTCACACCCTTGCTGATGGCATTTCTCGCCCTTTCTGGCTGGCTTCTGTGCTCTAAGTGTTCTCACTTCCCTCCATGACAGTCTACCACCAACAGAGAAAGTATCTGAAGCAACTCCACAGTGTCACCCTCGGCTCGGAAACCTACACTAGCTCTTGTTCTATCCCTCCCTCCAAGTGAGCTTCCTCTTCTTGACTTTTACTGCTTTCTCCGGCCCATCCTGCCCCTCCACCCTTACCTTCTGCCTCACTGTCCTAAGGGTGTCTCTGTCTCTACATACGCAGAATGCCCCAGCTCCACCCAGTCCTTCAAGGGCTCCCCCCACCCTGTCTGTGGAGGTTCTCAGGAAATGCCCCTCTGCAGGCAGCTCCAACACTCACTCATATATTTCTCAGTGTAACTCCTTACCCTTCTCTAATTGTGCCATATATGCCTCTTTCCTCAGCCTTTAGCTATCTTCTTAAGAACAGGTACAATTCATTCAGAAAATATTTTCCATGTGGCTTCTGTGTGCCAGGCACTAGGCCAAATTCAAGGTGGCAGCGGGCAGCTTGGCCTTGACTCTGATCGCTACCTCCTTCCCTATCCTGTATTCCTTTAGCAGAGTGGGGCCAAGGAGGGCCAGAAACTTGAGCCTGAGGTCTCTATGTTTCTTGGAGTGAGTGTGTTCTTTCGGGTCTGGACCCACCTTGAGTCCAGACAGGCCTGGCGTCCGGTGGGGGAAGGAGGCTGCAGATTGCAGTGGGAGGCATAGCCAGCTCTCCTAGAAAATGTGACCCAATGTCACCCCATGTTGGAGAGTAAGATAACAACAGCTGTAGCCTTCAGAGTAGAAAAAATAATATACACATCCATCCATAAGTATCTCTAATATTTAATGATTCTCACTTTTAAATCCTTGTCCATTCCCAAGTTTTTGCCTTGGATGATTTGAATGTTGGGAACGTTTGGGACTGTTTGAAAGTGAGAGGCTTTCCCCTGGCTGGTGTGGCTCAGTGGACTGAGTGCACCCCTGCAAACCAAAAGGTCGCTGGTTCGATTCTCAGTCAGGGCACATGCCTGGGTTACAGGCCAGGTCCCCAGTTGGGGCATGTGAGAGGCAACCAATTGATGCTTCTCTCACACATCAATGTTTCTCTCCCTGTCTTCCCTCTCTCTAAAAATAAATAAAACATTTTAAGAAAAAAGTGAGAGGCTCCAAATACTGGGAACTTGTTGAAAAATCTAGTTGTCATAATAGTGTGGATGATTGTTGACTCAGGAACAGGTAGAGACTGAGTACAACTTCCCCACTCTGTGATCCCTCCTTGTTCCTCATTCGCTACTTTTCCTGGCTTGTGCGCACACCTATCTGCCAGGGTTTGCTGTCTCCTCTTGAAGTAAATATTGCTTTTCTAGCTCGTGAACAAATATTGACCTGCTTGGGTTTCAGATGCTACCACTTAGAACTCCTGCTGGGATAGATAAATACACTTGGGTAACATCTCTTGAGAATCAGTTGCTTTTGGATAGCCTATAATGCAACTGACATACTGAGTTCTTTCAATGGTCAGCACTTGTGGTGGCCTCCCGGGGCCCTGATTCCAGACAGACAGAGGAAGGGCACTGGACCCTGCCCTCCCTCTGGGAGCTTGTGGCCCAGTGGGGAAGTAGGAATCATGAACTGGGAATGCCTGTAGCTTGCGTGCAAGGCACCTTCAAGGATCCTGAATGAAGATTCTTGCCTGAGTACGAGGTGGCCCTCTGTGACCACCAGATCCCTTCCTTTTCTGTGGTTTTAAGTGGAATTCAGTCAAGTGCCAAAGTGTCCCCTGCAGACAATGGGCAATGTGTTATGGCAGGAAAGGGAGCTTGGCCAATGATCTGTGGGGAGAAGATGAGAAGAGGGATGGACTGCAGGAGGTCTAGCCTGGGAGGAGGGAATTGCTGTGGTTTGTTAATCCTCTTGTATCCATCTCCCTGACCTGTCCCTGGACCTGCAGCTCTCCCCAGGACCTCCTGCCCTAGGTCTCTCTCAGTTGCATGTGTCCAAAGCCCAGTTCCTTTCTTGTGACCCATGCTTTTTTTTCCTCTCCCTGCCCTCTCAGCCTCCCCCAGCTTGCCCCCTGCACCTCCCTTCCCAGTCCTCTGAATGGAGCTGGGTACTTTTGTCAGATAGGGCCGCTGCCCAGGCTGGGAGATCCAAGGCTTGATCTCATCTCTGTGAGCTGGACACCAGTGAAGATCCTGGCTAGCTGGAAGGCTGGCGGTCAGAGGCCAGGGAGGCTGAGATTCCAGGCAGAAAGGGAGTCAGCTTCAAGCATTGATGTGGGAGCAGTTTAGGCCAGAAAACAGAACTGGCTTGACCAGTCAGAGGCCTGAGGAGGGTGATCTGATCTCAGTTTGTGTCTGTGGATTAGGTGGAAACTATGATGTGTGAAGGTCCTTTCTAGCTCAGTTGGGTAGATTCTTCTTTCTGGCCCATAGCCAAGAAGCTTGGTTCCCTCCTCTTTGCTAGGGGAAGCCACAGGGCAGGTGTGCATTTGTTAGAGGCCATCCTAGAGCAGGCGAGCAAAGTGTTTCCTTTGTGGGAGGGTGGGGTCCTGGGAAGGTCCCATCCTGGGGCACCTTAGAGGAAGCTGAGATGCTGGAAGCCAAGGCTGACCTAGAACCTGCCTTGATGGGCAAGAGGAGGGGCCTGTGAGACCAAGGTGAGCCATATACACTCAGGAGACTGGCCCCTTACTCCACACATATTGTATCCTTACATGAAAGACATTGTTTCCTCTATCATACATTACACACATGTGTGCATGAACACACACAGTGGGAGCAAGGAGACTTCTAGGTCTCAGGACCAGATGAGGGCCAGGTGGGGGCTTCATTCAGCCCTAACCTTGGGCTTGGTATCCAGGCAGGGAAAGAGTTGGAGCGGTGCCAGAAGCAGGCGGACGAGGTGACGGAAATCATGCTCAAGAACTTTGACAAGGTCCTGGAGCGCGATGGGAAACTGGCAGAACTGGAGCAGCGTTCAGACCAACTCCTGGACATGGTGTGAGGCCTGAGGGAGCAGGGAGGTGGGGAGGCTAGGAGGAGCCATCAGAAGGAGCTGTCAGAGGGAGCAGGGAGGTGGGGAGGCTAGGAGGAGCCATCAGACGGAGCTGTCAGAGGGAGCTCTTAGGCTGTGCTCAGGGTCTCCAGGCCTCGGGGGGACCTCAGGGCCAGTGTGGGGCCTGTGGGTTTCTTGAGGCACCCCCAGCCTACACATGCAATGGGTGGGCCTTGGTTTGAAGCTGTGTAGCTTCCTAAAGATTGAGGACTGACATTAACTGGGGGTGAACGCATAGGGCTGCAAGTCAAGGGCTACACCAGTGTCTGAGACCAGGCGTCAGGCTGGGAGGATCGCAGGGCAGGCTATGTGGGGAAAGGGAGCATACAGATGGAAAGGGTGCAGGAGGAGACTAGGTCTTGCTGGGGCAGGTTGGGAAGAGCTGGCTCTGGGGCTCTGTGGAACCACTAACTCCTATTCTGTGTCTGCGGGCATTCACAGAGCTCAGCTTTCAGCAAGACAACCAAGACCCTGGCCCAGAAGAAGCGCTGCGAGAACATCCGTTGGCGTATCTACCTGGGGCTAGTGGTGGGTGGTGGCCTGCTCATCATCCTGATTGTGTTGCTGGCCATCTTTCTCCCACAGAGAAGTCAGGGCAGCAGTGCCCCACAGGCCCAGGATGCAGGTGCTGCCTCGGGGCCTGGGGACTGACCCAGTTGGGCTTGAAGGAGAGACCAGACGGCTGCAGTGGCTGATTCTGGTCTCCAAAGAACCTCGGCATTTGCTCCTATCTGAGCCACCGCAATGAGCGCCTAAGGGCAGCTCCAAAGTGTGCACCTTCGCATCTCCTATCACGCCACACACTGGCCCTTGAGGGCAGCCTGCTGTACTGGCCATGCTAGGCTAGCCCCACTTGGAGCTCAGTAAACGCTGCTGCTTGGTTAAAAGCTGCTCTTTGGTTAACAGCTGGTTGCGTGTATGTGTATGTGTATTTTTGAAGGTCTCCAGGTTGGTTCATTTTGCTCCGCCTTTACCCCATGGGCTGCTTAGAAAGGCTACCAACCAAGGGACTTCATCCTTGGAAAGTGGCCCCTTCCTCTCACTTCCGTATTTGATCCAACCCTACACAGACAGGTGTAAAGACACAACTGCCCCCAAATGAGACCCTTCAATTATTGCCCTCTAGGCTTGTTTCCCTGAGAATGAAATCTCTTATTATCCTCATGTCCTGGGAGGCTCAGAGGACCAATGGGACTCCAGATGGGATGACAGAGGAAAGCACTTCAGAGATTTTTATATCATGAGGCTTTCACCTTTAGAAAGATTTTTTTTTTTTTGTCCTCTGAACATTCCCTCCTCCCTGATTTCTCTGCTTACGTTTTTCCTTAAACTTTACATCAAGATCAGATGAGGCAGGTGGCAGTGAAAACAAAAAGGGTCACTGTGGTGCTGTGATGCAATCACAAAGGATGACCTGGGGTTTACCCTGTAGGAGAGGATTTGGAAGCCCTGGCTGGGTAGCTCAGTTGGTTAGAGTGTCGTCCCGATACACCAAGGTTGGGGGTTTGATCTCTGGTCAGGGCACATACAAGAAGCAACCAATGAACACATCAACAAGTGGAACAACAAATTGATGTTTCTCTCTCTTTCCCCCTGCCTGTCTCTCTAAAATCAATAAATAAAAAAAGATAGCCCTGGCTGGTGTGGCTCAGTGGATTGAGCTCCGGCCTGCAAACTGGGAAGTCACCAGTTCGATTCCTGGGTTGCAGGTCAGGTCCCTGGTTGGGGGCATGTGAGAGGCAACTGATTGATGTATCTCTTGCATATCGATGTTTCTTTCCCTCTTTTTTCTCCCTCTCTCCCCCTCTCTCTGAAACGGAATAAATAAAATCTTTTTTAAAAAGATAAAAATAAAAAATACTTTAAAAGAAAATAGAGAATTCGAGCTTTCTAAAGTTCCAGGGCCACACAGGGCCAAGCAGGCAGTGCCTGCAAGGCCAAAGGAAAAAATCATTGGGTAAAGGCCACGAAAGAAAAAGCCCTACCAAAACCCCCAAACCGCGGAAACACAGTAGCACATGCCTTGAGCTACTCAACTGCATTTTCAACTCAAGTGTGGGTGGGAAGTTGAATTCAGGGTGAAGAATGGAAAAGAAGTTCCTTGTTGGGTAGAGAGAGGGCTGTTGATGGACAAACAAGAAAAACCCCAGGAGTTGTGTGGACCCCTTATGATTTCATGATTTCAGATTGATTTCATGAACTCATGACTTCAGAGGCAGAACAGTAAGAAGCTGGGAAAATTCTTTGCAAGTGGAATGGGGAAACTGAGACAGATAGCTGAACAAACTGAGCAATTTACAGCCAGAAAGTCACCAGGCTGGAAAGCCTCAGGTGCCTAGCAACGGGCAAAACTGGTGCCAGACCGCATCCCCGGGGTGGCCTTTCTTCCCTTGGCATATCACTGGCCATTCAATTTATACCTTCCTGACGTTTCCTTCCTAGAGAAAACATCTAGGCCTCAAGAGCATTTCAGCTCCAGGCACGGAAAAGCAGCAAAACCAGGCAGCAGGTCCGGATAAGTTTCGATGACTAATGATTCCTAGCCCAAATATTAGAGACTGTGGCCTTGAAAGGGCAAACCTGGAAAAGCTGATGAATATTCTGTTGAGGTCCTTCCCTAAGATCTCCCCTAAACTCCCAGCCTTGAAAACCCTCAAGGCAAAGGACCCAGCATACACTCTCCCTCCTGTTCCGTGCTTTTCCCTTCTCCCTCTTTCCCCTCACAGGTGTGCATCTCCTGAACTCGAAGGGACCCCACGAGACTTGCCACCAGGTGAGCAATGGGCAGCAGCAGCTCATCCCAAGCTAACCCCCTGATCCTGTTCCCAGGGCCCCCTTTTCCCTGACTCTCCAGTGAGCTAAAAGCAGCCCCGCCTTGGCTCGCTTCTTTCCCATAATGTCCTTAGGGAGCCAAAGCAGCCCTTTCTAGGCTCTCCTGTTGCATCTTCCATCCTGAGTCTTTCCTTGTTTCACTGTCCCCTTCTATAATAAATATACTCTCAAAAATCACCTGGACTTGTGAAATCTTTCCCGCACGAAGTCAAGAACCCATACATTAACGGGCTGGTCCCTGTCCTGTAACACTTCCACTGGGCTCACTATCGTCTTCCTTTCCCTGGGAAAGATGGAGAGCACCTGGCCCTCACTCAGATATCATGTGAATTTGGGCAAGCCACTTCTCTGACTTGGGTTTTACCTGTGTGAAAAGAGTAACGATACTTAGCGCCCAGCACAATCATGAGGATTATTTATACTGTGTAAAACATCCATCAGTGTAAAGGTTCTAGATGCCAAATAAGTAGTAACTATCATCCAAATCATTTAGTGCTGTAGTTCTCAACTCTGCCTCATGTTAGAGTCACATGTGAAACTTATAAAAATACCACACCCAGGAGTAGATCAGTTTAATCAGACTCTTTGAGGGTTAAGTATCAGACTTTTTTACCCTCCTGAAGCTGCAACCTCTCCTCTTCTCCAGGAGATTCATGGGTAGCCAGGGATGCAAACTACTTATCTAATTCAAGCCACTAGTTCTACAGGAGCTTGAGGAGAAGTTAAGCAATGGGCTTAAGATCACAGTGATAGTCATATGAGCTGGTAAGACCCCAGATTCCCCATCAGGGATCCCTCTATTAGTTGGGAGGTTTGCCACCCACCCTTTTACTTTCGAGCCTAAAATAAAAATGACCAGAAAGTTTTGGCTTTTTTTTGGGACGGGGGGGTGGTGCGGGGAGGAATCACGCACCAACTCCTGAACCGATTAGAACTCAGGGGGTGCATTAACGCTCTGTGGGTCTTGGACAGAGCAGCGGGAAGCGCCCTGAGTCCAGGCTCTCCCGCTGGGCTGTTAGACTCCTGAGCCCCTGCCCAACGCCTTCTGAGAGACCTTTAGCATCTGCATTGCCAAGGCACTCTGAACCACAGAGTTGACTGGGGACCCCTACAGCCCACTTAGCTTTTCAGGACACTGCGGGCGCGGTCCACACGTCGCTCCTACGTACCTATCTACCCTAGCCTCCGACTCAAAAGTGTTGTGATGAGTCCCAGTACCTGCCATTGGCGTTTACCTTTGGTCACCTGACTTATTCGAGCCAATGAGATATGGGAAAATAAATACTTCCGCTTTCTGTTCGTCTAATGAACCACTGTGTCCGCCTTTCTGGTGCTATGATTGGCTAGCTTCTCTCAGCTCGCCAGTTTATTGGCCAGTGCTGCGAAAACCTAGTCCGCGGGGTCCGAGGGCTGCTGTGTCAGACAGCCCGGCTGTTATGGCGTCCTACTTCGATGAACACGACTGCGAGCCCACAGACCCCGAACAGGAGGCCAGAACAAACATGCTGCTGGAGCTCGCGAGGTGAGTGGGCGAGGCTGGGAGAGGGGGGCCACGCAGCAGGTTTCTGGGTTCAGGCTGGCTGGAGAAAACAGATTATCTTTGGTAGCAGGTTCTGGGGAGGGCGGATGAATGATCTGGAGAGTGACTCTGGAGGCTAGATTTGAGGGACGTCGATAATTTCAGTCGTCCTTGGGCCTTCCGGGTAAAGGTATCCTGGGAAAGACTGGATGGAGTAGGGAAAGTCGGTGATGGGAGGACACCGGGCTCTAGGAGGAGAGCCATGGGGGCGGGGTAGGGGCCGTGTAGGTGTGAGTAGGTACATTGGTTAGGAATACCAAGCATGCCGACACTGCTACAAGGAATCTGGCTTTACCGGGTCATTCCTGGGTAGCCTGAGTAACTTCCCTGAGCCTGTTGACTCAAATGTAAAATGGGAATAAACAGCCTATGTGCTTGAGGTTGTCTGATAGCAGCTGTAAACCATTTCTCACCCTGCTTTTAACCTAGCGAGCACTACCGATTGGGGTAGCTATTATTACTACTAGCTGGACAGGGTATTTACCTATTGATGATGAGTGCATTGTAGAAGCAAAGGGGAAGTATAGTTTTCTTTGATTCTGACCTTGTGTCTTTCTTCCCAGGTCACTTTTCAATAGTATGGACTTTGAAGGCTTGGGATTGGTAGTAGATTGGGATCATCACCTGCCTCCACCTGCTGCCAAGTCTGTGGTTGAGAACCTCCCCAGGACAGTCATCAGGGGCTCTCAGTCTGGTGAGAACGCTATTCCTGCTTTTTGGGGGCAGGTTTGCCAGACCCCTCCCCCAACAATCCCTCCCAAGCCAGACTGTGGACTGGCCCTTCAGTTTTCCAGGCCCTGTTGGGGCAAGTATCCTTTAGGAGTGGGAGCTGGGAGGTGGGGCCTGTAGCAGCTGTCCTGATCAGCACTCCCTCCTAAAGAGCTCAAGTGCCCCGTGTGTCTTTTGGAATTTGAGGAGGAGGAGACTGCCATTGAGATGCCCTGCCATCACTTCTTCCATTCCAACTGCATTCTGCCCTGGCTAAAAAAGGTACTGCTTCCTTTCTCACAGCCCTCACCCTGCCCAGTTTTCAGGCCCCTTTCTGTTTATGGGGAATCAGGAGGAAGAAGGGTCACGGTGAGAAGTGGGAACAGGGGGTGAATATTAGCTTATAAAGACCAGGCCTGGGCTGGAACACTGCCCTGTTTTATCCAGACAAATTCCTGCCCCCTCTGCCGCCATGAGCTGCCCACTGATGATGACACTTATGAGGAGCACAGACGAGATAAGGTAGGAGCTGGTGGTGAGTGGAGGGGGTGGTAACGGGGCTCCCTCAGGCTGTTCTTGATGCTCTCATCTCCCACCTTAGCGAGCCTGGGTAGGTCTCGGGTCCCTGGCTCTGGCTGTGTCCCCTGTGACTTTGGTGAGGGGCATCACAAATGTCAAGGGCCTGAAAACAGAGCTAGTTCCATGATAGATGCCCCATGCCGTCACCTACAGGCCCTCAGATACGGCCCCGGCCTCTTTCCTTCAGGCTCGCAAGCAACAGCAGAAGCACCGACTGGAGAACCTGCACGGAGCCATGTACACATGAGGCAGCTGGGGCTGAGCAGCAGTCTTTCACATCTTCCTCTTGCACCTTGAATCCTCATTAAAGGTTGCTTTACCCATCCTGCGACTACATTGCTCACAGGCCTGGGAACGGATTCTATACCCTCCACTAGGGCCCTACTGTTATTGGGGAAATGGGGCCTGGACTGCAGAAGACACTAGGATACACATCCTTCCCTGCCAAGCCTGCTGGCCTGAACCTGGAGGCTAGGTCAAGAACCTGGTCACTGGACCAGCTAGGGCTTGGGCCTATGTGTTTGTGGCTGGAAAGCAAAAAATATGTTATGGTTTGGCATCCAGTAAACATGCATCCCTTTCCCCCTGTAATTTTTAGTCAACCTTGGAACCCCACTTTAAAGCTTCTCTTTACACAACCCTTCCCACCCCTCATTCTCTTATACTAAGGACTCAAACTTCAAGGCAAACTTTGAGTGGGGAAAGGAAGTGTGAAATGATCAGATCAGTCAGTTCTTTAGTCTGCTTAAAAGCCCATAAAGGGCTTCAAGCCCTTGAGGGGTATTTGGCTAGCACCTGTCATCCTTTGTTCCTGGCTGCCTCACTCTCAAAGAGTACTGGGCACTCTTCCTAGGGGCACAGGCTTCCTCCCATTTTTTCCTAGGGAAAGCTGACCTGAATTAGGCCCTCTGACTCCAGAACAGACTACAAACATGCAAATTAGAATTCTTTTAATAGATAGAGATATATATATAAAAAATACTAAAATACCCACATGGTTCTGCTGTGTTATTTGCCCTAAGAAAAGTAAGGGGCAGAGTAAAGAATCCCAGGGCCCAAAAGTGGGCCTTCCCATAGACTAAGGCGTGCCCTCCCCTCCCCCAGCACTTCTATCCTTCTTGCTGTTCCCAGCCCCCAATTCCTGCAGCAGGAAACCCCAGTGGTCTGGCCTCGGCACTGGGGAATAGAAGGCACCTGAAGGGTTGGCTGGGTGACTGAGGATATGTGTACCTTTAAACATAAAAACAGTGGGGAGCGGGTCACACACAGCTCAAGCAGCTGCCAGGGCCCGCTCCTTTATGGCACAGGTGGGTGTGGGATGGCCCCTCGTCCAGGAGCAGGGAAGCCTGTATCCCAACTGAATACTTTCTCAAAGTTGTTTTTGGTACAAAATAAACGCAAATAAGACATGGGTGGGGAGCAGTGGAGGCTGGGCCAGCCACCCTCCCCCGACCTCAGATCATGGCTATGCTCTCAGGGACGCAGTTGAGGTGAGTGGAGGTGCTAGTGCTCCCGGAGGACTTGCAGGCCCGGCCAGCAGGCTGCAGTGCAGCCACCAGTGTCTCTGTGGAGACTGTCCCAAACTCGTAGCAGAAGGTGCCGTAGAAAATGAGGATGTCGATGACAAACACCCACTCACACAGGGCCGCCCCGTGCTGCAGCTGAGAACTCTCGTGGATGAAGAAGACACCACCTGGAATGGGGCTAAGGAAAGGTCTGGTAGCATGTGTCGGGGACTGGCGACACACCTTCTGCCTTCCTGGATATGTAACTAGGTTGGGGCAAAGGACTAGGTCTGACATCTCAGGAGAGGGAGTGGAAGACCACACTGGGCCGTGCTGCCTGGAAGGTGTGCCATTCTCCCCCACTCTTCTTGGGTGAGGGAAGGGCTGGGCTAGAGGATGAGTTCCTGGCTGCCCTGTCTTGGAAGGATACTGAGGATCAGGACGACAAAGGCGATGGCTGCCAGCGCAATCCTCAGGTAGGCCATAGCCAGGTCCTGGGGGGCGGTGGCCCCATGGTAGGAGAGGACACAGTGCAGGCAGACAAACAGCAACCCGGCTGGGAGGGCCACACCAGCTCCGATGTAATGCAGAGACTTAGCATGATCCACCTAGGCCCAGAGAGAAGGGCCCATCAGTGAAGTTCGTGCTCCTCTGCCTCCTTCATACCTCTTTTCTCTCCCTCCTTTCTTTCCCAGGCTCTCCCTCCCTCACCCCCAACCCTGAGGGCCTGTCCCTGCATCTTTGGTGAACCCTCAGGAGACAGGGTCCCTGCAGACAGCCATGCCCTTTTAGGGGAAGTTCAAGAGGTGGGGAGGGGGGTCTACCTGAAAGTTTCCGACCACCACAAGGCCTGCAGCGTTGGTGCAGCCTGTGATGAGTGTTGTGGTGTTAATCCAGGAATGCCGACTCTGCTCCAGGAGCTGCCCGTACAGCAGGAGGCAGAGCAGGGCCACTGGGGAAGAAGAGCATGGGTGGAGCCAGCACTAGGGCCTCTGGCTGGCCCAACCCTGCCCAGAAGCCTGCTAGCTCTCACCCCTTCAGACAATTCTGAGAGCCACAAGGGAATAGACGGGTGGGTAGTGAACTGGGTTTCCTCAGGCTCCAGCCCACAGGACGGCTGTGTGGGAGTCAGCCTCTGGCCTTCAAGGAACAGGGAGAGAAGTGGCCCCTCTTGCTTTAGCCCTTGGTTGGGTGGGCTGTGTTGAGCAAGGGCTTCCTGGGGGAAGGGTGTGGAGGAATGGGCTGGACTGGGCTGGCTAGGGGGGCTAAGGGCACAACTCACCCATGAAAGCACCCACGTTGCCAATGAGGCTGAAGAGGCAACTCTCTGGGGGATATGTGCCGCACTTGCTGAGGGGAGGGGGGCAAGGACAGAGTGAGAGAGGGGCAGGAGCACCAGAGGGCCCCCTTTCTGGCCCATTTGCTTTCTTTGTGCTTGATTTAAGCCGCTGATTTGTGAGAAGGACCAGTGTCTCTCACAAACTGGTCCCAGGCTGGCATCCCTCCCCTCCAAATAAAGCAGTGCTCCTGTGACAGGTTAGGAAGCGCCCAGGATTGCGGGGCAGACCCCGAGACTCCTTGGACTCCCTCAGGCTGCTGAGGCCTGTAGCTGGTCTGGCTTCCCTTGAGCTAGAACTTGGGCTGGGCAATCAGAGGGCTTGAGCTTAAATCTAAGTATCTCTACTTACTAGCAGCGTGTGACCTAAATGGATTCAATAATTCAGTTTCAGTTTCCTTGCCTATAAAATGGTGAAAACAACAGCTGCCTCAGTGCTGAGAGAATTAAAGGACCTTATTCATGTAAAGCATTCAGCACAGTGCCTGGCACATAGTAACTGTCAAGTAGTACTGTTATTAAGTGCTCTTAATATAATTATTATTCCTGTGAGACCCTTTGGGACAGGCCTTTGCTTGATGAGGGGCTTGGCTGGGAGTCTATTGGTGTTTTGGGTCTCTGATCTGCCCAGTTTCCAGGCTTTACCTGATGAGGGGGACATCGTCCAGGGTGCAGCAGGTCTTGGGACCCCCTTGCTCAGTGGGGTCAGGAGAGCAGGACTCGTTGTAGGACCTGGAAGGCAGGACACAGTAGATTGAGGGAAACAGGTTCCCCTAACCACTCAGCCTTTACTTCAGAGACCACCCTCCCAGGCCTCCTCCCTTATGAGGGAGCAGGAGAGCCCACTTTCCAGGGCCTGCCTGAGACAGAAACCAAAGGGGAGAAGGGATAGTGGGGAGCAGGTAAGTGGGCATGAAGCCATGCCTGGGGAGAGGCAGGCGTGCCAATGTCAAAGAAGAGCAGTGAGGCCCAGAGTCTCTGTCTGGCTCGCAGTAGCCCTGACCCAAGAGGGAACAGAGATGAAGGGAGCTTCAGAGTGAAGCTGTCTGCAGAGTTCGCCATACCAGTTCTCCACAGGGCACACGTGGCGGTTCATCACGGCCATGGCATACCTGCGGGAGCAGAACTGTCACCCAGCGACCCTCCCGGCCAAGCCCAGCTTTCCCCCACTGACCACTGTCTTTTCCCTTCATTCTGGCCCCATTCAGCCTCATTGTCCTTGCCAGGGGTTCAAGTTGGGGTAGCCCCGAGGCCTGATGCCACACCAAAACCCACAGCAATGGCCACAGACGAGAGGATCTCTGGAAGTTACTCTGGCTAGAAGTAGGTCTTTTGGGACCACCTTGCTGGACAGAAGTGGTGCCAGCTTGTCCTAAGTGACTGACTGTGCCCAGGCACCAGGCCTGGCTTTGGAGACAGAGTGACCCTGGATATCACCCTGGAGCCTGCAACAGGACAAGGGACTTCGTGTGTGCCATCAAGCTCCTGCTGGGTCCTGTCTTTCCTCAGCCTGGGCCCATTTTGTTCCTTTGTTGTTTTCCCCCTCTCCCTCTTTACTTACACAGTCCATAGGCCAGTGATGGAGAATGCTGATAAGCTGACAGGAAGGAGGATCCAGGCGGTCATGAGGGAGGGGAGCCAGGGTGGTAGTGGTGTGGGAGGGATGGCGAGAGGTAGGTGGGGAGAAGGGGGCAGGACCAGCTACCTTAAGATACTTCGCCAAAACCATCAACTGCCCCTGCCTGGTGGGGAGAGAGAGGTCAAAGTCCAGTGTCCAGTGAGTGGCCAAAGCCCTTGAGGGGTTGGGGGTTAGGGCATCACCTGATTCGGGGCACCCACTGGGGCTCGGAGTGCCCACACTTTGGGCTCAGCACACACCAGAGTGTGGTCACCCTATGGCACCCACCAGGGCCGCCGCATCCCACCCAAAAGCCACCGGCTTGCTGAGGGACTCAGGCGGCGCCATAACATCTGGACAGGTAGTCGCTCTCCCTCGTCTGAGGTAGCCGGGCTGGGAGCCATGCTACAGTTAGGACGGTCTAGGAGCCAAGCCAAAGAAAGTCTAGAGCGGAGTCCAGGCCCGGTAGAGGGGCGTCCACACGCAGGCAACCACACTACAGCGCCCCGGGGAAGGGCAGGCTCAGGCGGGAAGCCCAGCCCAGCCCAACCCCGGCCCGCGTGGGCGCCTGGAGCCCGTGGTCGGCGAGTCTCCGGACCCGGGGAACGAGCCTTCTCCGGTGATCCCTCGGGGTCCTGGGAAGTAGGGGACCCTGAGAAGTAGGGGGCCCAGTACGCACCTCCCCAGAAAGCCCTGCGGCTGCCGCGCACTACTCAGCCCCTGCGTGGCGCCATCCCGGGCTGCGGCCCTCAGACAGGCCTTGCAGGTTTAAAGGGCCGGCGGCCACGCCCCGACCCTAGGCCGCGCTGCGCCGCGCCGCCCGCCGGGACCTGGAGTCCGCGCCCCGCGGGCCCCGCTCGGGACTACAAATCCCGAGCCCCCACGCAGAGTCTCGGTGCAACGACCGTGCTGCCCCGCCTCCGGGACCCGGGCACGAAAACCGTGGCGTGGGACTCCAGCGGCGGCTCTGACTCCGAGGGTCCGAAAGGATAGTCCTTGTTTCCTGTTCCTGCGTTGGAAGCTTCGGGAGGCGGGAAGCTGGGGGGAGTGCAACACCTTCCAGCTCCACCTGTGGTCGTCATCGTGCACGTGGCTGGAAGTAGCCTCCCTCCGCCGCTGGGCACATTCCGCTGCGGGGAAGGGCCGACCAGTGAGATTTCGGGTCATCTCCCTCACCGAGGCGTCCCGTGCCTGCCTCTATCCCAGACGAGGTGGTCCGCAGGGTAGCCTTAGCTCGCTCTTAAGTTCAAGAGTCCATGATTTGACTTATTCTTCCAAGAATGCAGCAAACTCTGGAGGATGCTATTTTCACTGGATACATTTTGAAGCGTACAAGTACACAGAGTACTACTCTCCACAAGTCAGTGTCCAAAATATGTTGTCCGACTGCTCAACATTTAACTTAAACATGGCAGCAGAGTCCAGTGCATATCCATTCTAAGTAGACACACATGGCCAGGTGTTGGCACTCAACAGAGGAAAGGTGGGGACCCGGAGCAATTTGGGAAAAGCAAGCAGGATATTGCGGAAATAAATTACCTACCAGCTTCACCTAAACCTACAGGGCAAAAGTGCCCTCCTGGTTCTTTTCCCAGTTAAAAGGGCAGAATACTTCCTTGGACATACCAGAAGGGTGCCTGGCACTCTAAAGGGAAGTTCAGCATCTGTTGGGAGCTTTTGTGAGACAACACTGGGACCAACAAATCATTATCCTAAGAGCATGGGCCCGGGCTGCCAGGAGGCAAGGAGCTGAAGTTCTACAGCATTGGTGAGGCAAAGGTAAAACTGCCCAGTACTGAGGGAAATGAAGCAGATAAGCTGGACAATGGTTTGAAAAAGGAGAAACCTTTTTGCAGATCCACTAGCAGTTAAAAATAGAGAGAGGAAATCTGTTGGGGAGACCTTTTCCAAATTGCATCAGGACAAGTAGTTAAAGCATGGCTGTACAGAGTGATTACAAGATGGCCAGGCTGAACGGACCAGCAGGGAGTAGAATTCAGTCCACCTGCTCCTGGTCGTACTTGGTGTCCCAGGACAAAGGGACCCTTTTTCCAGTTCACTGAGAGGCCCTATGTTCCTGTTCAGGTGTGTTTCCATTGGCACAGACCCTTTTCTCATCTGCCCAATGGTGCTATGAACCCTCACCATTTCCTATTTCATTAGTAGCTTTGCCATTATTAATCAACACTTACTGTTCCTTACTGATCTGGGTTTGCGTTCCTGTCCAACCTTTATCGTGGGGTTGGCCTGCGAGGACTATTCAGGTTCTAAACTGGCTGTTCTAACATAAAGTGGGTACACAAGCACTGTAGAGCTGTGACAAGGAGGGAGATTTGGGCTAATATGACAGTATGAGTAGTCCTTAAAATAGAATTATCCCCCAGGATAGAGCTCCCTGTGACGGAAAGGCTCTTCATGGGTAGTTGGTGAGGGGGGGGGAGTCATGCATCAGACAAGAAGTAGGACCAGATGTCTTTAAAATTCCCTTCCAGCTCTAAAGCCATGTGAGTCTAGATGTTACGCTCCCACCCAGCAGTTCTTAAAATAGGCTAAATAAAGCAAGAGATAAAATTTCAAATGCTGATTCTGTGGTGCTGAATGACGTTAGGGGCAGGCATTTAATCTTCACTTTCCTTACATACACAAGTGATTTCACAACTCTTGGCAAAAACAGTGCTGCAAAAATAATGTTTATTGGTTAAAAAGAATACTGTCTTTAAAAAATACCTTCCTTCCAGTATTTTCAAATAATTTGCATACTTTTTATTCATCCGCAAAGCAGAAACATTGAAATGAGAAAACAGACTATATGGCTTTTTATACACTTAAGATCACAACAACCAGTGCAACGTCTGCCATTCTGGAGGTTCTGAGAAGGCAGAGGAGCTATTCACTCAGGTTTTCACTTCTAGCATCACTCCAGTTAATGAGGAAATTTGGGGTGGGTGCCTATGGCTTCTTTTTTAAAAAAGATTTTACTTTTCAATTTTTAGAGTGGGGGACAGGAGAGAGAGGGAGCGAAACATCACTTGGTTGCCTCTTGTATGCACCCCAACCAGGGACTAAACCTATAACCCAGGCATGTGCCGGCCAGGAATCAAACCGGTGTCCTTTTGCTTTGTGGCATGATGCCCAACCAACTGAACCACACCAGTCAAGGCATTATGGCTTCTTGGCCATCTAATTCCACAGGGACAGGAATTCAAAGAGGGAGCTTAAAATGTTTAAAATGATTTTCAATATTCCACTGTGATTCTCCCAAAAGACTCAGAGGTAGGCTTCATTTATATTTGTGAACCAGTTGGGATCCACTACCCAACCATCTACAGGTCCCACCAAATGAACAGCAGGTTGAATACCCACTGCCCTAGGCTAAGCTCTAGTTGGCAGTGCCCCTCAGGATAGACCATGGAGGTGGAATGTCTCTTTCAGAGGCTCTTCCATGGAGAGGATTTGTTATTGCCCATGCTGGTCCTACTATCTGGCTAGGCTCCACCAGCTCCTACTCTCTGTCACTCAATACAAAAAGCTTTACATTCTTTTTTTTTTTGCTCTTCATTGGTCAGATTTCCATGCTTGCTAACTGGCTGGAATTCAAGCTTTAGGGTTTATTTTTACACAGCCCAAACCCCTGCAAACCCCAGCTTCCTTCCATATCACCCAGTGTGGCCCAGGAAACACAAAACCTTAAATCCAAGGATTATCCTCATTAAGAGAAGGAACACTTACATAAGATACCTATCAGGCTACCAGGCTTTTTTTTTTAATAGCCAAGAATGCATGTAATCAAGTGAGTGTTGAATCTGAAGCAGCCTGCTGGAAAGCTCCAGCTAGTCTAATGCTGTTGCCACTGCCCCACACAGCACTGGACAATCCCCTCTGGGACACATCTAGAGCCTGTGGGAAATGCTCTGAACATTTCCCTTGATGGCAAAGCACAGATTTTTGAAACAGCTGGAAGACGTCTGGAGGCAAGCCTGGTGAATAAACCGGACCCCAGACAATGGGTGGCAATAACCAATGAGCCTGTGCTAGAAAGCTGTCTAATGGCTGAAGGCCATCACCAGAGAAGCATTTCAGGCATGCCTGGAGTAGCCTTATCACCAATAATTCTTCTCTGAAAGACAACCTCAGTAAGTACCAGGCTTAGTGATTTATAGTCATACTGCATAAATTAGCTGAGAATTAGAATGCTTTCTTGAGTGGAAAATATTTTATATGCACTTGATAGGCAAAGTGCTTCAAGAAAAATTTTACATGCAAGCAGTTCCTATCAGTTTCTAACCTGAGTGTGTAAAGATTACACGACAAACACATAAAAACAATAGGTACACGCTTCCTTTCTCACAAAACAGGCATAGAGGCTAAAATTTTGGGTGCTATGCCCAACCTCTTCTTCTGGTTTTGTTTCTAAATTTCTATAATAAATCCAGGAAGTAGGCCATTCAGCTGTGAGAAGATGGACCCCAAAGGTATTTCCAGATTGGGAAGCTCAATAATTCCAATGAAATTCTATGTCCAAGTCAGAAGATCAGTTGAAGAGCTGGAAGACTAAAATAACTGGTTCTTTGAGCTGCAGGGAGATTGAGATGATGGCACAGCCTCCTTGACCCAGGAAGCTCTGGAGGGTAGTTAACATTGTAAGTCAGAAGGCACTTGGACTCCAGCTACATAAATAGAGGGCAGACTTTCTCCTTTAAAAGAACTGTGCTCAGGACTGACAAAGTTAAGGCCTTTAATCTTGGGCCAGCTTTTTGGGTCAGGAGCGCTATGGTCCCTTCACAATCAGGTCCGTCTAACTTAACCACCTCACTCACCTTCCCGGCATTCCTTTCACTGCAAGCTGTGGCTAGCTGTATTTGAATCATGTATTTTAAGAGTGCCCTCAGGTGTCCTTTAAGAGAAAAGCTGCTGAGATGGACCAGCTAGACTGATCTTGAGACCCTGATGTGGAGAAACCCCTGAGGCAGGGGGACTTTGGTTTCAGGAAGTCTCAGTGCTCATGGGCTCACGTAACCCTGAAATTTCAAGTCACTGAGGTTAGGCTAATGTGCTGGGAAACTGAAGTGGCTTCAACAGAATGGAAGCCTTGTGGATTTCTCAGACTTTAGCTTAACCCTGCATTAGGAAAAATGTTCACTTAGGGCAAAGCACTGATATTCCTGGGATCTTTATTCTAAGGATTTGTTGGGAAATTATATACTTTTGGGAGACAGGAAAAGAAAGAGAATGCAGCAGGGATGAGAGATGTTCATTTTACTTCCTTTGGGGCATTGTGCCTTTTTTGTATCTTTACAACTATGGTTCCAAACAGGCAATTATTGCTGCTGAATTTCTCTTTAACAGTTCAAGACTGTTAAATCACATATGGAGAGGCAGTTTCAAGAATGTTTTAATAATTCCCCTTTAGGGATGAGGTTGAAAGTTAGAATTCTATAGTCCTAACCAAGGCAAGTTTTGCTGTAAGAAAGTCTTCAAATTTAGTTTTGGCATCATCTTCTGAAGTCTCCTTATCTACACAGTGCAAAGCAATGCAGGCCTCACAGAAACTCGAAAAAGCCATGGAAGGAGAGGGAGACATGCTTGCAAGTCAGCCTCAAAAATGAACACCTCTCTCTGTATTAATATCAGGATTACTGGAAGAGCTTGTCAGAAAGATATACCCCCGCGGACCCCACACCTCCTAAGTCCTGAGCAGCTGGAGGCGCACAGTCACATTGCGAGGCAGGGTGGAACTGATGGACTCTGAGACAAAAGAATGAAGGAAAGAACAAAGAAACAGAGGTGAAGAACAAAAAGATCTAGAAAAGCATGAATGAAAGTGAGCAGAAGCACAGTAGAAAGGAATCATAAAATAACAAACATGGCTCATGGAGCTGGGTGGAGCAGCAGTAGTCAGGTGTCCCAGGGCGTATGAACTCAGCGAGAAAGTAGCACGTTGGCGTAAGGCTTCATAAACCTTGGCTCTCCTGAGAGTCTCTGCTCTTAGAACACCAAGCTAGCCAAACAAAATTCTCAAAAATCCCAAAGCAGGCTGGTCAAATGGGCTGAGATAGAAGAAAGACTGGCTACAAGGGAGCTGGTCAGGCACAGTTCCTGCAACATCCTTTTCTAGCAGCTCTGGGAGGTGTGTGTGTGTGTGTGCATGTCTCAAGATCAGCCCAGACTGGTCCTCGTATCCCCAAACTAGGGGTGAACTCCCTGGGCAGTGACTCCAGCCTGGAGGGAATGCCTTCAGCCTGGTCAGTGTCGGCTCTGGCGCTTTGCAATCTCCTCCTTGATGCGCAACTTGAGGGCCTCTCGCATGGGTGGATCCAGAGGCGTGTGTGCTGACACCTCCTCACTCACCCTTCCTGGATCATCGTCCTACGTGGGGGAAGAGTCAGGATGCTCAGGGCCTGGCCTCTTCTGGAAAGGCGACCTGCCCTGTCCCTAGACAATACTCTTAAAGAACTCCATTTGACTCATAACTTCTTGCCAGTGCCTGTCATTTCCCAGGTATCCCCTGCAACAGTGATTCTCAACTGATGGTCATGAGCCCTCCCTGTTGACCGCTGAGGATCACTGTGTGACGAAGTTGTGCTCAAAAGCATTGCCCAGCAGTTTATGCTCCCATATGGAGCAGACACTTCCCTCTGACCCCGATGAAAGCAGTGGCTTGGGGGCTGTCAGTGATTTCTACCAGTTCCTAGGACCTTCAGGCTGTAGCTGTTTCCACCAGGCGTACCTGATACACGATAACTGATGTGACCTCTCCGCTGTCCGCCTCATATTCTAAGCAGAAGAGCTGGTGGCCAGAAGGCTCTGGCTCCGAGCCTCCACTACTGCTGCTTTCACCGGACTCTTCACAGTCTGGGTTCCTTGGGTGGGTAGAGCCATCTGGAAGGATGAACCGGAGTGAGAGGGAAGAGGGGAAGGCTGCTGGAGGCCCTGACCACAGAGGTAAAAGCCCTAATCTTTTTATGAGTGTGTTTGTATGTGAAATGCGATGCCAGTCAGGAGTTTTATTTACCTTTGTATCCCCGCTCCAGGGCCAGCACAGTCCTGTCATACAGTAGGCACACAGTACATTTGTCTAGTGAATAGGGTTGGAAGGTGGTGGAAAGGCGGACAGAGCTCAGCCTGGGTTCAAATCTAGACTGTCATTTATTGGCTCTGAGATTTTGGACAAGCTACTTAACCTCTCTGTGCCTGCTTTCCTGGTTGTGAAACAGAAATGATAGTTCCTACCTTAGATGGCCCTATGATAACTATGACAATGTACAGAAGACCTAATAACACTTTAAGTAATGCTCCACAAATCTGACCTCATATATTAGGAACTGTGATCTTGAGGTCTCAGGGAAGCTGGGGAAAGAAGTCTTTTGCTGGTTTTAGGTTTCATTCCACAATTATGTCCTGGTTGCCTACATCTGCGCCCAGCTTTTTCTCTGTTAGGTAGTGGGAATACTAATATACAGTATGATGGGGCAAAGCGGCAGACAACTTCTTGCTGGCTCCCAAGTATGTCTTATAATAGCGATGTTTAACTGTGGGCCACGAGCCCTTCCTGTTCTCCAGGAAGAATCAGTGGTCGGAGTTTGGGGACCGTCTAGATGGAGGTCCTGGGAAGGGACTAGATGAACTGAGCCTTAGGAAATAAGTTTCTCCCACCCTTTTTTCTATCGAGAAGGGGAGTGTCCCGGGCCCGGAAGAGAGCGCGAGCTCGAAAGCTGGCAGGACAAGCGGCCTCACCTCGGTGTCGCGGCAGGTACACTTGCAGGTCTGGCTTGCGGGGCCTCGTGGGAGCGGGCGTGTGCCGCCTCCTCACCTTCTCCTTGGCCGCCTGCTTCACCTTCTTGTCGTAGTCGTCCCTGAGGGGAGCCGAGGGGGGGTCAGGGACAGCCAGCCTGGCCGAGCCGGGCCAGGCTGGGGCGGGAGCAGGGCGACGGGGTGGGACTGTACCGGGCGAGCTGATTCCGCCGGATGTGGTGCACGAAGCCGTGGCTCATGTCCAGCCGCCCGCCAGGCTTGCAGCAGAGACCTGGCCCTGGATTCGGTGCCGCTTCCATCTGGAGCGCTGCGCGCAAACCAGCCACAACCCCAACGGCCGCCCTCCCTCTGGAGAGCTCGGCACTGCTCCTCGCTCGCCTTCCGGCCTAGCGCCGCGATCTTCCGCCCGGAAGGGCCGCGGGGCCGAGCGGCACCACGCGCGGAGTTTCTAGCGTGGGTGGGTGGTGAACGCGCGTATATCTTCTGCGTGACATTACCTTTAGAAAGGAGGATTTAGGCTTACTGCTGATACGTCAGACGATTCAGCACCACTGAATCGACCTGACACCACTCAGCGTTCCCTGTGGAGCCTTCCCGTCCTTTCTCTAGGGTTAGGGTGCTGTGAAGCTTCGTCACCAGTTGCGTGACCGCGGCTGACTACTGAACCCCACTGTGCCTCAGTTTCCTCATTTGTAAGTGGGGACTGGAGAGCACCTCAAGAGAGCTTGTAAGGAAACGAGTGCTCTGGCAAGACCTGCAGAGCCCCCCCGGGCGTTGCGCCGGAGCTCTGCCGTCGTCCCGTTGTGGCCCCGGCCCCGGCCCCTGCCCCGCCCTGCCCTGCCCTGAGAGGACCCACGGCTTTTCAGGGGTCTGAGCATGTGCCATTTTCAGCTCTCCTTAAAAAAAAAAGAAAGAAAGAAAGGAAAAAAAAAAGACAAGATTAGGAATTCGTGATTAGAACAGGGACAAACCATGGTGCGCGCTCATACACAGCCGAACACAGCCGATCAATCTAATAGAATACGCGGCTGAGACGACAGGGATGAATCTCAAAAGAAATACGTCGGAGAGAAAAAGGCTGTGTCCAAAAGAACGCGCCATGTGCTTACGTGTATATGAAACAAGAAAATGCCAACTAACCTGTAGTGACAAAGCAGACAGTTTTGGGGCTGGTGGGTAGATTATCTTGATCGCGGTGTTGGTTTCAGTGTATACATCCATCCGGCAGTTTTGAGACAATTGCACACTTCAAACGTGTGGTTTATTGTCTGTAAAAACACCTCAGTAGAGCTGTATAAAAAAACTTCCGCGTCGTGAAAGTCACTGGCCCTAAAGCCTCAGCTTTATTAGCGTCACTCTAAGTCTCCTCTGTCTCACGTTTGCACTATCGTGTGATAACAAGACTAACCCTCTAAATGTGGAATTAGAGACTCAGGGTTGCTGCAGGCAGGGGATGATTTAGGGATGTCGCCTAGTTCTCCCGTGCAGGGGCGTCGGTCTTCGAAGCGCGGAGACGCCCCTAATTTTGGTTTGGAGGCACACTGTATCTTGAAGAAATCTGGGGCCCAACAGCAGCTTCTTTCATCCAGAAATTCGCAGCCAGTAAAAAGTTCCATCCACTTTAAACTAGAAATTTCGGGTAAGATGGCAGTAGGCCTCCAGATGATTCCCAGCTGCGCGCGCAGCCACAAAGAGGCCGCAAAAAGCGCAGTACTTCCCAGTTTCCTGTGGTGTGATTTGTCCCCATTGGCGACTCGTAGAGAACCTTGGACTGGATAACAGCGCTGCTTCTGATTGGCTGTTTGCACGCGCTTTAGCGTGCCTTGCCCCTGCGCAGGGCGACGCTGCCGGTAGTGGCGATGTCCGGCCGGTCCAAGCGGGAGTCTCGTGGTTCCAACCGCGGGAAGCGCGAATCCGAGTCACGGGTTAGCTCGGGTCGCGTCAAGCGTGAGCGAGATCGGGAGCGGGAGACCGATGCGCCGAACTCCCGGGGCAGCCCGGTGCGCGTGAAGCGGGAGATCGAGCCGGCGAGCGCGCGCGAGGCCCCGGCGCCAGTCGTGCCGGCGGTGCGGGTGAAGCGGGAGCGCGAGGCGGACGAAGATTCCGAACCTGAGCGGGAGGTGCGAGGTGCGCGGGGCTGGGCAGGGCTCGGGTCTACTCTTGAGTTCTTTTTTTCCTTCCAACTTCTCCTCCCCGGGGGTACTCCACACTTCACCGGTGTCGCTCCTCGACTCTTGACTGCATCTTAATGAGGATACTACAACTGAATAATAACCATTGTTACATTGTTTCTAACAACAAAAACAGCAGCCGCTTTCCTTTATCGAATGCCAAACGCAGGCCGGGAGTTGTGCTAGTTATTTTACAGCTGTCACCTTCAGTTTTTACAAAATATCTGAGAATTGAGTCTTGCTGTAATTTCTGGAATTAGACTATTCAGAGTTGAGAGCCCGAACCCTGGGCACCTGCATCTGTTACCCGGGGCCGTCGCAGCCAGATCTGGATTCTAATCTTGACTGTGACTGAATCATTGTAGTTTGGGAAAGCGGGTTTCATGTGTTTGCTCCTCTGTAAGTTGGTGGAACTGGTCCTGGAACTCATGACCTTTGAGAGTCTTTCTAACAACAGCCAGTGTCACCAGTCCTCCCCGCCCCACCCCCCTCCACTCCCGCCATGACTGCACTCATTCTGCTTCTGTAGTAATTTCCTACTTGACAGTATCTTACCAGTCATGAAATAGGTTTCTACCACTTCGGAAAACTTTACCTGTTTACCTCAATTACACCTTCTGCTTCTGTGAACTTGTAACTATTGATTTGATCATGTTCCTATATACTTGTTTTCTGATGAGTTATTAGGACCCTACTGAAGTAGCCGGTGGAGGATATTACTAGACTACATGCTAAGGGTAGGGTCTGGGGCGGGGGGAAGTATTTCTTATTCTTCAAGACTTGATAATTCCGCATCTGGTCCTGGTTATCTGTATATGATTATACTCTTGAAAAATTATTGCTATTAGAGAGAAAGAAACATAGGTTTTCAAAACTATTTATTTATTTATAGAGATGGGGAGGGAGAGAGAAAGAGAGGAAGAGGAACATCAACCTAAGAGAGAAACACCAATTAGTTGCCTGTTGTACATGCCCCAACCAGAGACTGAACCTGTAACCTAAGCATGTGCCCTGACTAGGGATCCGGCAACCATTTGCTTTGCAGGACGATGCCCAACCAACTGAACCACACGGGTCAGGGCAAGAAACATCGATTTTGTTGGTCTACTTATTTATACATTCATTGGTTGACTCTTGCATGTGCCCTGACCAGGACTGAACCTGCAGTCTTGGTGTATGGGATGCTCTAGCCAACTGAGTTACCTGACCAGGGCCTTATATGATTGATTATACTTTTATATTAATTCTTGAATTTCTTGTTTAGGGTCCTGTGTTTGACATATTTTTTTGCATTACATATTTCGTCCAGAATAGCACCTTGCTCATAGAAAGTGCTTAATGTTCTTTGAATAATCTAGTTAATAATTTCAGGGTATTCTTTAATTTTTTTAATTTAAATACTCTGTCAGCCTCAGGTTTTCCTTTCTTTGGAACAGAAATTGTTTCTTAGACATTTTGCATGGTTGTGGTAAATAGATTGTTTTCTCTGGGACACACTAAGATCCCGGTTGCCGTCACTATCTTCTCTTTTTTCTTTTCCTTTTATTATGAAATAGATGACAAATACTAAGATGGGCTGAATGTAATGCAGAAGTACGTTGTAAAGAAGAATGTGGATGTACACTGTTAAATCTACCACTTGTCAAGAATTTTGAAGGGTCTGAGATTTTATTTGGAAGCTACCAAGTTAGCCTGTTGCAGTTTCAGGGATGCTGGAGGAAGACATGGGACTGTTGGGCCTCAGACAGTTTATCACAGTAATGACAGTAGTCAGAATGGAGTCTTGGTGTCATTTCCCCAGTCAATTCCCACAGTGCAACATGAAAGAAACCCAGTGGGCCCAGTGGGTGGCCCTGCAGGAGGGAAACTATGAGTTTAGAGAGCCTGAATCTTTTACAATGGACTGTGAGATTGCCTCCCCTTTGTTGTGTAGGAAGATATTATCTTTGTCATCTGAAGTTGTTCACTATACAAACATCGTTGACAAGATAGTTTAGAGGCAGTTAGTGCCACTGGTCACAAAATGCGCAGAAATGTGAGAAGACCCTTGGAAAATTGTTTCCTAACACTATTCAGCTTAAGAAGTGGGATATAACTAGAACTGTAGAAGTTCCCCTAGGCCTCTTCCCAGTTGTATCTGCCTCCTTTGCTTAGGTAATCACTTCTGGATTTTTTCCTAATCATGTCTCCTTTTATTAGTTACAGTTTTACCTCATATATGCATCTGTAAGTAGTACTGTGTTTTATTTTGTATTTGATATAAGTGGAATCACACTGTATGTAGTCTTCCGATTTACCCTTTTTTTTGGCTAGCCATATTTTTGAGGTTCATCCAGATAGATGTTCATGGCTACACAGTGTTCCTTCCATTAATGATATATGAAAATATATTTCTCCATTTTATTTTTGGTAGATATTTGAGTTTCCCATCTGGGCTCTTTCAAACGTTGCTGCTATAAATGTTTTTTAGTCAAGCTCTCTTGGTATATGTGTGCAAAAATTTCTCTACAGTATATTAATAGAAGAGAGATTGCTGGGTCAAAAGGTCTGCATATTTTCAGCTGTACTACTCGCCAAGAAGTTGTAACAGTTTTCACTGCTACCAACAGTACATGAACATCCTCTTTGCTCCACTTATTAGCCAACACTTGGAATTTTCTGATTTTATTTTTTTCCTCTGGTAGGTGTGAAGTGGTATGTTACTATTCAAGGAGACTTGTATTTTCTTGATTATTGATGAGGTTGAGCATCTTTTTATATGTTTGTGGGCTGTATTCTTCATTTTCTATTGGGTTGTCTGTTTTTTTAATTCTTCACCAGATTTCTTTATGTAATCTGCAAATAAATCATTTGTTGGTTATATGTGTTTCAAATATATTGTCTCAGTTTGAGTCTTGTTCCATTGTTTCCAATGTTTACTGCCTATGGTGATTTTTCTTTTCAGCAAAGAATGGCCGCGTGGATTCTGAGGACCGGAGAAGCCGCCACTGCCCATACCTGGATACCATTAACAGGTCAGTAGAACACGGATACCTATATAGGAAGTTCTTTGGAATGCACATTAAACAACACATTAAAAAACTTGATCTCTGCCCTGGCTGGTGTGGCTTAGTGGATTGAGTGCTGGCCCATGAACCAAAGGGTTGCCAGTTTGATTCCCAGTCAGGGCATGTGCCTGGGTTGCAGGCCAGGCCCCCGGTAGGGGGCAGACAAGAGGCAACCACGCAATGATGTTGCTCCCTCTCTTTCTCCCTCCCTTCCCCTCTCTCTAAAAATAAATAAAACCTTTGAAAAAGTGTTATCCTTTTTAAAGTTTTCTGCCCAGAAAATTGTGCATCTTGCCCTGTTCATTAATCTTTGTTCTTCAGTTTAAAGAATCAGAGGGCATGTTGTTTTAGGGTGGGCATATCCATAAAGAGCTTTTAGCTCACTTTGACTTGTGTGATGAAATAATGGGATATATAGTGTAAATGACAATAGAAAATTTATTGAGTGCCACTATGTGCTAGGTACTACTCTAGGTGCCTGGGGTTTGGCAGAGAAAAAAAAAGACAAAAAATATGTCCTAATGCCGAGGTAGCTACCTCATCCTTGTACTCTTTTTTTTTTTTTTTCAGATTTCTGATGATGTCTTAGGATGTTTTTCAGTTTATACTCTAGAGACTGTCCATTGTTGTAGGTGACTATTCTCCATTTATGGCTGTTGAACATTTGAAATGTGGCTTAAGGAACTGCATTTTAAATTTAATTTTAATTATTTTAAATTTAAATGCCAATAGCTATGTGTGGCTAGTGTTTCCTTTAAGGGACTGTGCAGCTTTACCAAGACCATTACCAATTAATTAGAGTTAATGTTTGAGAGGAAATTCCTTTGCCAGCTATGGATTCTCAGTAGAAAGTTTTTTTATCCATTTCCTTCCCAGGGCTCATATACCATTACTTTGCCCTTGAACAGATAGATCTATTTTGTAGGTATTTCCCTAATACTCTTTAGGCTTCGCATTTATTTTTATAGGCAAAAATAAGTTTTTCTTTTATAAAAGCATTTCTTCACCCTTTTATGTCTTTCTACCACTTGTCTTTTAATTTGGAATTCTGCTGGGGTCCTGTTACTTTAGTCCTAGTATGGCTTTCCCTCCAGAGAAAGTGACTGCAATGGAATATTCTCAACTGGTTGTAAATAGTAAAAAGAAAGGGTCATTGGCATTGTGTGTCTGGTTGGGATACCTTGACACTGCTCTGGGGCTTGGTGGGTGGAGGTGCTACATTAAATGTCTAGGTAAGGAATAGTTAATGTTCCCCATGATTTCTATGTGGTTATTGAAGCATTCTCTGCAGGATGCTGTGTGACATTGTGGAACACAGCGCCAATGCTGCTTCACTTGGGTGCTGTCCTAGACAACCATCTCTATTAATGGCTTTTGTTTTGTTTTGGCTCTCCCAGGAGTGTGCTGGACTTTGACTTTGAGAAACTGTGTTCCATCTCCC